GGGCGCCCGTGACAAAAGAGAAATAATGGGGGGAGGCCCCGGGGGGAAAGGAAAGAGCTTGTACCAGGCTGTTTTTTTTTTACACTTTTGTTTTTTTTCAAATTTTTGGGCGCGCTTTGAGTGAGAGGCCTCACAAGCCTGGAGGGGGGGGGGGGGTTGGCGAGGTTCACCGTGGGCCTTGTTCCCCTTGAAGCGGCGCGCGAGGGCAAGCGTGGGGTTTTCAGGCCATGAGCACAAAATTCGGGAGGCTTTTTGCCCTTGGAGAAAAGAGCCCATGATAGGACGAGCGTTGACCGCAGGATTTTGCTCGTCGTGGTGACGGGGGGGGGGTCACACAAGTTGTGACGCACGCATTGCCTCTCTCGCTCCCGCTATTCCGGCCGGGGGCTGTTCCTCAAGAGGTTAGGGATGGGACGGCAGGGGCCCTTGCTCTGACTACAGAGTGGCGCCGTTTGGGGAGTGGAGAGCTCGTACTCTCCCGAGTGTTCGGGGGTGCGCTAAGAGGAGTGTTACGGGGGTCGGCCGGGGCGGTAACGTGGGTCACCTTGATGTCAAGCGTATTGGGCATATGCCGTCAGCGCGCGTTGGGTAGAGGTCTGTTCTATCAATGGTAGGTAGGTAGGTGTAGTTCTTCTAGTGTGCGAGAGGGCGTACAACGAGCGGAACATTCATCATGTAGTAGGTTGTTGTGTGAGCGTTTTGGCGTATGTTTTTGTTGTTGCTTTTGTTGTCTTCGGTCTTCACATTACAAAACCGTTCCGGTCTCCGCTCAGTACCTTCTGATCTCCGTACGTCCGTACTGGTCCAACTGACGCGACAAGGTATTATAGTATTTATTTGGTAGAATCCTGTCGTCGTGGTATGAATCATTCGCACGCACGTCACAAGATCCGTTGTATTTTGTTTAGAGTGGTTGGAGGGCGGCCGCCCGCATCATCAGTATTGAACTCCGGGTTCAAGTACCCGATAGTTTAAACTCTTTGCATCTGCCATTTGTACGTCGTTGCACCTCTCTCCCGAAGCGCGGGGGTGGGGCAGGGTCAGGGTTGCGGAGCAGTCGGCCGACCCCTTATTGGTCTTGCCGATGTTTCCGTAGTGATGGGAAGAAAAGATGGCCTGCACTCGCGACGAGTTTTTGTTCTCATGATATGTGACGGTCTATCGCTCGCGCTGACAGGACGTGCCACATTTATTGTGTTGTTACCCCGGACTGGAAGGGGAAAGCAGAGGCAGGGGGGGAGAAAGAGATCGAGAGAGATGGGGGGGGTCCAAGAGACGGGTGATGTCGTGCTTGCTTTTTATGTTGCGTCGAGACCGGATTCTAGAATATCGGGTTCTAAAATATAAAGAGCCCAAAAAATATCACCCGCCGTTATTTCTTGTTTTCGTTTTTTTATTTCTCTGAGTCAAGCAGTTGCGAACAGGGTAGCCCTTCGAGGATACATAGCTTCTCGAGAATTGTTGTTGTTGTTGTTGTCTTCACATTAAAAACCGTTCCGATCTCTCTCTACCCAGTACCTTCGTATGTCCGTACTGATCCAACACTCGACGCGGTCGATTCCCGTGGTCACAGGTTAACTTACCCTAAAAAGGTACACTCAAATAAACAGGCCCCGAGGGGTCCGCAAGTCAATAGAAATCAACGACAGATATTTGGAATCCTCCACTCCCTCTTCGCGCTATGCGAGGTATCAACTGAGACTAGCAGTCACTATCTATCATGGGCCGGAGAGAAAGAGGTACACCCCCTTGGTTCAATCTTGGTACTTCACAACGCAAGCAGAGACAAGGCCATCTGGCACACACAGAAAAAGAGAGAAAAAAGAGAGAAAAAAAAGAGAAAAAAAAGAATGAATCGCACACAATCAATAACTTCGCGATGATGACACCACCGTTAGGATGTTTTCCTCTTCGATCGTTACGGTTGTGTTATTGCTCGCGCGTGTTCTCCGTTACGCACGACGGGATGATAAAGATATTAGACGGTGAAGCCTCGGCCCCAACCAACCCCGGAAGAGACCGCGTCAAAGGCTAACTAACTGCAATAATAGCCGAAAGTTCCTACATTGGCGCTCTCTGGGTCATCATTAGTGCAATTACAGCGGTGTTGTTGAAGGCGCGTCGTCGTTGTTATTGTTGTTTTCAGTTTTCGTGTTTTGCGGACCCCCCACTATTCATTTGTGTGTGTGTATGTAGAGTCAGGATCAGGGGTGGCAGACCTCGCGGACGGTCGTGTTGTTTTGTTGCAGGTGCAGGAACTACAAAATCCACACAGAAAGACTACCCGTTCGAGATATACCCACAGCAGCAGTCGAACGGGATGTGGTGGAGTGCATTTTCAGTGAGCGAGTGGAGGAAGAAGACCGGCTGGGTGCTGGACTTAATATTTTAGGAAACATTTTTTCTGGGGTGTACTCGTTATTTTGTTATTTTGGCCGCTCAATCGCCTTCAAAGTGCGCCAGCATAGCAGCACTCCATATTTCCCTAACAACGCCTAATCTCTATCTATCTATCTATATCTACTGCTGCTGCACTGCTGCTGCACTGCTGCTGCTGCTTTTGTGACGCGACGACGCGACACACTTTTTTCTCATTCCCACAACCAACCACAAGCAGTGCGCAGGTAATTTAAAGTTTGGCTACCCCCCCCCCCCCAATGGACACTTTTTTCTGGGGCCCACCGCTTACACGCTGTGAGTCTGTGAGTGACTGACCGCTGGTCTGGTGTAGCTGGTCTGGTGTGGACCTTGACA